TTTGAATTCTTTTTCGGAGTCTTAACTTTTGTCCTAATAATTTTTTCAAATGAAAGGTGTACCATGGAGGGTGTTTACCGCGAGATGACACAGTTTCAGGTACAAACAGTTTTATGACTTTCCTAACGACCGAGTAAAAAATATCCAACATATCATTGATGTCGTTGCAAGTGTGAAATTCAGTGCTCCAATTAATGTCCCCAAGCGCCTTACAAATGGCTTCGTAATCAGCTTTGTAGTAATTAGGTTTAACAATCGCCATAGAATATTTTTTGGACTCTACAGGTATTTGCAGCGCAATTTCAAAGGCTGGATGAAACTTATCTAATTCTCGAATTGGATCAGGGCAGTAACTAATTTTTATTTGTTCATTATCGGAGAGTACTAAATCTAAGGTTTTATTTTGAAAGTTTTTGATCCAGTTATATTGTCTTAAATTGCTGAACGATATGAAATTAAGAAAAATATTTTTAAGATAGCCACTACTGCCCGTAGAGGCTGAACACCAGTCACCAGCAGTGCTGTGTATCCAATCAATCCCACTCAGATTGAAGTCGCCCAATATTATAGTAGAGCTGTTGGAATTACGTACCATAACTGAGTTGCTGTTCTCAATGAAGTGTTCTAACACATCTGAATTTACTGGAGGGGGTATATAGACACCACACAGCTTCAAGGACCCATTTACAGCTGATTTCGTTTTGATTGTAACCCATAGATCTTCGCAGTTACTTTCCCATTCATGCATACGTGATGAGATTAATCTATTAGATACAGCTATAAGCACGCCACCGCCATCCTTTTTGTGGCTACTGAAGTTAGAGGTTTCCCTATCCCTTCTATACACTGAAAAGGTATCACCGAAGAGCTCAGAATCAAAAATACCTGCACACAACCAAGTCTCCGTCAAGACATAGACATCGTAGTCACTGTTCGCTATGTGTTGCCGTACTTCAGATATGTTAGTGCGCAGTCCTCTAGTGTTTTGGTAATAAAAATTAATGCAATTGAATTTAAAAAAATATATATAATAGAGTAGCATTCTTAAAATTACACTATTGATTTTAATTAGGAAAGATCTTTTAGCTTTTCAACATCACCAATAACCACAGTTTGGGAGTTTTCGTCCTTTTTAATGAAGATTCTTCCATTTCGAACCCACACGAATCTGTATCCCAGTTCTTTGGCTCGAACTCGTGTTGCCGCATGAAGTGCTTTGTTCTCAGGGGATAAGTGTTCGACGACATATATAGGTACTGGTTTGTCGTTTGCAATGCCAAGATGACTTGAGTTCAGTTTAGACTTTGGATTATTTTTGTTGAATTGTAGGGATGCCGCAAGGAAAGTGTCCCTCACACGGGGACTGGTGAATTTGACGAGGACAGACTTTGGACGTTTGTTGTTCGCATCTTTCTTTGCAATTCTGGTTGTGAGTTGAATGTCCGTATCCTTTATATCACACTTAATGACTTTGCCGAGCTGAAGGACAGTATTAATCAAGTTCTCGGATGGATGTTCGGGTATACACTGTATTTCGACGTTATTAGATCGCGCGTGTTGTTCTAAGATATTCATACGCTTCGTTATGTCACTTATTGATTTTGTTAAAGAGCAGTTCTCTCTCATTAGTTTCTGTATAGTAGTCGATTTCTCTTCTAAAGCTGTCCTCATTTCTTCATATTTTTCGTTGAAGAATGACAGCGATTTCTTGAACTCACAAATAACGTCGTTGAATTTACCAAACTGTTCCTTTATCATACCTTTAATTGTATCTTGTAAAGCTATGTTAATTTCTTGCCTTATGATTTCTCTCAGTGAACCACTCGTTATGTCCGTCAATCGTGTTGTTTCTTCGTTTGTGGGCAGGCACTGAGATGGTTTTCGGCGTTGAGTAATATTGCTTTGATCGGTAGGAGAGGAGTTGTTGATGCTGCTTGTAGGACTACATGGCTTGGCAGATCGGATCGGTGTATTTGTATTGTCGAGTTTTGGCTGTTTATTAATGCACCCGGGGCACTTCCAAGTATTTTTAGAGTCGGAATGCATTGACTTGAATTTCTGCTGTGATATATTTGCGCATAGTAAATCATACCATTGATGACAAAAATAGCATTGTAAGCCTTTTCCAACCTTAAAAGCGTTCATGCAGCCGGCACACTTCAATGTCGACATTTTTAAATTATGTACCGAAAGTAAGAACAAAAAGTATAAAAAAAAAAAAAAAACAATTTTCCAAAAGTCTTCCCAGCGATGTCAAAAGCGTTAGAATACTCAAATTCTGCGCAAGCAATATGAAAAAAAAAAACTTCCAAAAAGTATATGCGAGTCGTCGGATTCGAACTCGGCTCACTCTATTGAAAGTCGACGTCCGATACCACAACGTCAAATCGTTGTTGATTATTTGTTGCAAATTAGGTGCTTTGTTTCTACAAGTTAAAGTTTATGTGACAGTTGGACGTAAACAACTTTTGAATTTGAATTTTTCCACTGTCACTCACAACAAATACACCTTAGTTTTTACATAAACTTTTTTAGTTTATTATAAGTTTGCACTTTTTGCACTTAAGCTTATTAAATGTAGTAACGCAAGTTTTATGCAAATTCGGCACCAAATAATTGTTTATTAACAACTTTATGCACTGTTGGTTGGAAAAAAGTTTCACTAGATATTTCTTGACACTATTGAATCCCTGCTCGTAGATAACGATAGATGATATAAATTGCCACTATAACTATTGAAATAGCACTGTATTAAGAGGAAAATGCACTTGTAACTATTTTTAATGATTTTAAAAACACGGAGCTGTTGTTTACACTGGCAGTGGCGCCATCTGAGTCCATAATTTAAGCGACCATAGTTTAATAATAACTACATAATTTAAGCGAGTCACTGGCGCCATTAAGCAGTGCACTTGAAACCTCGGAATGATAGTGAAACATCTGGTTTAAGATAACGTTATTTCCCGAGAGAATCGTGCATTATATAAGTTATTTTTAACCGACTTCAAAAAAGGAGGAGGTTCTCAATTCGACGCGTATTTTTTTTTTTTTTTTTATGTATGTACACCGATTACTCGAAGACGCCTGGACCGATTTGCAAAATTTTTTTTTTATTCGATAGGGTATTCTTGCCATTTGGTCCCATTGTCATGAGGTCAGGATCTGATGATGGAATCCTGGAGAAACCGAGGGAAACTTTCAAAAATTGTAGGGGCGAGTAGGTTTTTTGTTTGGAGTAGGTTTTTTATGTTGGAGCTGGAAGACAGTCGAGGGCTCTCCTTGACTATTTGGAGTAATTGCCTTGTGTTTGGGCTTGAATGATTCGTATTGGTGAGCACTTTGCAGCAGGCTTGGTCGTAACTGTCATTAAGGGTCTGATGATGAGAACGAAGGACAGCTCAGGGAACTCCTGAACGGTTTACAGTAGCTACTTCGTGTTTGAACTTAATTCATTTATATTGATGAAAACTTTGTACCTGTTGGTATGTGTCATAACAACTGAAGGTCTGCAGTTTACCTGATGATGGAGACAATTGACCGTCGAGGGAATTCCGGATGGAAACCAGAGACAGTCGAGAGAACTCCTCAACGATTCATAGCAGCTTCCTTGTGTTTGAGCTTAATTTATTCGTTTTGATGAGACCTTTACACCTTGATGGATTGTGGCTGTCATTAGGGATCTGATGATGAAGACGAATGACAGTCTAGGGAACTCCTCAACGATTTACAGTAGCTACCTCGTGTTTAGACTTAATTTATTCATATTGTTAAGAACTTTCCTTCTCCTAGAGAGATAGCCTGTGTCCCAGTAGTGGGAACATTAAAATGGCTGATGATGATGATGATGATGATGATGATGAGAACTTTCCTATTTCTTGGGGTCTATATTTTTTAATCGGGCGGCTCCATTCGTTCACCTACACATAGGTACTTAAAAATATATACTATTCAATATGTTAATTTATATTTAAAATATTACTGTAGTTTACAGAAGAACTTGCAACTGATACTAAAAAGAAAAAAATTAAAAAAACTACGTTTAAAAAAACCGACTTCATAAACAAAAAAGTGTCAAATAAGTAATTAAAATTGATATTTTAATAGCACTCTTACGTACGCGAAGCTAATACTTATAATATTAATAATAAAACACTATCAATTCTATGTGCTACCTATTCATAGGTTTGAAGTCGGTGCCAAGCCCTAAACAGAATAAAACTAAATAAGAATTAAGACTGTTTAACTGCTAAAAGACGAAATTTCCACAACTAACAACGCAGCTATCTACTACTACTTTTAACAACCAAGTACGAGAAAACTTTCAGAATTCATAATTCATCCAAATATCTTTCTAAGCTATATACAGTTTCGCCGGTAACGGAACCATATAGACTTCTGATTCTACGCTAACGCCATCAAGTTAGAAAATCGGTACTAAATTTCTTAAATCCTAACAAATAAATTCAAACGCGCCCGGCGAGTTTAGGTACTCATGTAATCATGCTTATTATATTATGTATTAGGCTTGGCACCGACTTCAAACCTATGAATAGGTAGCACATAGAATTGATAGTGTTTTATTATTAATATTATAAGTATTAGCTTCGCGTACGTAAGAGTGCTATTAAAATATCAATTTTAATTACTTATTTGACACTTTTTTGTTTTTGAAGTCGGTTTTTTTAAACGTAGTTTTTTTAATTAAATTTACTTGTCTATAAGCTTTGATGACTTTATTTTTGTGATCGATTTTGTTATAGTTAATATTAATATAGTTAATAACCTTATTCATATTTTTACACATTGTAATTTTTTTTTTACTTGCAATAAACTAGTGCTCGACTGCGATCCCACCTGATGGTAAGCAGTGTTGCAATCGTTGATGGTAAGGCGCACTAGTTTATTAAGAGCCTATTCACTCTAGCCTTGAAGAAGCCTACCTTAATGTACCCATATTTGCAATTGCAAAATAAAGTATCTTATCTTCGAAACCAACTAACCTGGTTATCAACAACCCGTCTCCTGGGCGGCGTGTGATGGAGATCAGCTCTGAACCCACCAGCTGGCTCCCCATCCGTCTCCAGGACCTTCAGCAAATAGGAGATGTATGAAGTCGCCAGCCGCAACGTCTTGATCTAAGAGGAAAAGAGAAATTTAATCGAGAATTAAAATTTAGAAATGGTATATTGATTTCTGGGTTCATTTGAAGCTTTTTGGTGGTATTTCACTTGTTTTATCTATTATTCTAAGTTTGTATGTAGCGGGTAATCTTTGGAACCGCTGGTCGGATTGCCAAAATTCTTTCACTGATACATAGCTACAATGTTCCTGAGTGCTATAGGCTATTAAACATCACGCTACGATTAAATGGAGCCGTGCAGCAGGTGAAACCGCGTGAGAGTAGCTGGTTAATTAATTATCATTCAAAAACTTCTAGGCTACCGTTAGATGTGAAAGTTTATGAGATTGTATGTTTGTTTGTTATACATTCAGGTCTTTCGAATTTGGGATGTAGATGGCTGCAGACATAGGCTGCTTTTTATCAACATAACACGCGAGCGAAGCCGCGGGCGGAAGTCAGTCTAAATATAAAAATTCGCACCAATATTAGTTAAAAACTGCTACAAGTGATTAGAGAGTGTTGGTTGATGCCCCAGGGTTTTCTCCTGTGTCGTTGGTGCGTTTACAAACATACAATTTCACATACACATCACACCCAGACCCGGAACAGCTAGTAGGTAGTTTCCAACTAGTCAAATTCAATACTTTTATCCAAATGTCAAAAACTATACTTTTCTATGAAATTTGTATGAAACTCCGAATTATGTCGTCATAGTGTTTTTGCGTAAATTTGCTTAGGTACTTGTCTCTTAAAAAAATTGCTTAAAAATAATCTAAAACTTAGTGTATCGATCGATCGATGAATAAAAGTATGATAAGTAATTTTTCAATATTCTATTGTATTGAAACGTCGAATTAATTTATTTTTGACCTAGGGAAACTACCTAATTATGGATCACACAAAGAGTTGTTCTGTGGGTTTTCGTATTGTGAGGGGAAAATCATCAAATAACTTCTCCCGCCCTAGTGTCAGATACTTACTGACTAAAAACCCCCCTGTTCCTTTTCCTGCTCTGGACCGAGGTCGCGGTGCCTCATTGCGCTTACCCCGCAACCCCGGCGTAGTAGCCCAGCCATAGTTCCAACAGTGCAATCAAGCTGTTCTTTAAAGTCCAACAGTGGCCGTGGACAAGTAAAATACCATCAAAAATTTCAAGACTTGCCCAGAAATCGCAACTAACCTTAGTCATCTTTGTGTCTGGCAGAACATTTGGTATATGTTGTCTCAAACTTGTAAACGCGGAATTGATGCTCTGCGATCTCTTTCGCACCATCTGGCGATACCAACGCAAGAGTGAGACGGATATACGTCCGTCGGTTCAACTTTTATAAGGGATATGTTGGGTAGTTGGCAAAAAAGAAAGGGTTAATTGTGATTTTTAGAAAATTTTTAAGATTTTTATACTATTTGAAAATTTTTTGATTGTATTAAAACATTATAATCATAATACGGCAATAAATTCATCGGGAATTTCTTATATAAAAGTCAAAGTCATTTATTCCAACTTTACCAATAAATAGGTGTTTTTGAAACGTCAAAATAGAATTGTAGTCTGCAGTCTGTTCGTCTGTGAAGCTATGAAGGTGCTCGTTCCAAATTCTAGATTCGAATGGAGAAGAACGAGCAAGAAACTCTAATTAGCTGAACAAATTGTGTTATAAAACTATTATTTTAAATGATGAACTTTACTTTTTATCCGGCTAATATTCTATCTGTCCTATCCCCAAATAACCAAAGTTAGATACAAATCAAAAAACATGTCCAGAACTATCAATAAAGAATTACGCTAATTCTTCTTTGAATGGCCTAAATAGAAGACAAAAAATGGCCGTTTCTGCCGTATAGAAAGTCTTACCTTCGATAATTTCGTGTCTGGTGGTACGTTAGGGATGCATTCCCTTAAATCTGAAAAGGCAGTGTTAATACTTTGGGTTCTTCTTCTCTCCTTCTTGTTGGCAGTCGTCCTCCTCTTTGCGACTCTTACGAAAGACGGTGGAGCTGGACGGTCGTAGCGAAGCGGAAGACTCTGGAGATCACAGTCTAAGCCTGATGAAATGAGAGAAGAATATTGTACATTAAAATATCTAAAACAGATATAAATGGAATAAAATACGTAAGTACGTATAACGTATAAACGTAGTAAGTGTGGGAGAGCCATGTTTCGGCACGAATGGGTCGGCTCGACCGGAGTGATAGCATGGCCATACAGAATACCGGCGTGAAACAACCCACCGCGTTCTGTTTCGCCGTGTGAGTGAGGTTACCGGAGGTCCAATCCCTCCCACCTCCCTATCCCTTCCCGATCTTTATATCCCCAACCGCTATCCCCAAAAGGCCGGCAACGCACTCGTAACTCCTTTGGTGTTGCGGGTGTCCATGGGCGGCGCCGATTGCTTCCATCAGGTAATCCGTCTGCTCGTTTGCCGACTTATACCACAAAAAGAACCTATAAGCTAAAAGGCAATCATTAGAATACATCCAGAGGCGTACCAAGGCGTCCTTTGTGAGTGGACTCATCTTGACTGACATTTCTCGCCCAGGTTGAGGCGAATCAAGCCCTCCCCCACCATTTTATTTTCCTGCTCCGTCCCGAGGTCGCGGTCCATTAATACACTTGCAAGAGGCTTGTCAAAGATGAAACGCTTGTGGTTTCAAATTCTCGAATACAGGCGTCAAGATTCAAGCCTTTAGGTGAAGATTCAATGGAACGATTAGTGGTGCAAAGGAGGAAAGAGGGTCAGCGTCCTCGTGGTCGGTCACCTACTAGATGGACCGACCTTATACAATCAGTGAGATCCAGCTAAATAGTGGAATACGTGAGGGATGCCACTAACAGAAAAAAGTGGAGAGAAATAGCAAAGGCAGCCACCAAGGACATACCGTGACCACGACCTCTCTGACAAGAGTGTACGATTGAACGAATATTGTAAGTTGTCATACTACCGTATTAGACTGACCGCAACATTTTGGTAGACAAAGTATGAGATGACGGTAAAAGTGGCATTCTATAATGTACATAATTTTCCCGTAACTTCGACGCTGACTTCACACTCGAACAAGATTCAAAATCAAACAAAATTTATAGAATCGACGTGCTGGTTTATCAATGCAGGTAAAAACTATACGTACGGGCATATCGTTGTATATCACTTTCAGCTATCTATACGCCTGTGGTCGTTACTATCCACGAAACTGCTTAACACAGCAGTGAAACAACCATCATGGAGCCTTTCGCCTCCAGTTTATTTTTATCAGAACCTTTATTATGGGAATTCTTTGCCAGAAACTTACTTCAAGGTATGACGCCTTCAAAGCTTGATTGAAGAGGCTCTTTGCTGAATGGACAAGCGTTATCATCGTTGCTTACCATCAGGCGAGATAAGATTTTGTATACTTTTGTATTTTATGTTTTTAATTTCGTATGCGATGATGCGACCTACGATGGAGCACGGCTACTTATAAAGCAACCTATTCACTCGGGCCTTGAAGACACCCAGTTTATATCCTTAGAAGAACACAGAATCTGGCAAAGAATTCCACTCCTTAACGGTTCGGATTATAAAACTGGAAGCGAACCGCTTCGTGCGTGTAAATGGGATATCTACCATAAAGCGATGACGTTTTGCCGATTCTCTGTTGGTACGATGATGGAAAGGACTAGAGGGGATCAAGTCGAATAGTGACTGCACGGTTGGTGCGGTGGCTGGGCAACTGGCTGCCGTACAACGTGTCGCGGTTTCGATTCCCACACGGAACAACTTTTTGTGTGATCCAACGAATGAAACAATGAATTTATTTTTGCAAATAGGCCATAAAACGGCACTTTTACACGTCAAATTATATATGAAAATCTAGATGAAGCCGGCATTTCCTATCTGACTACTCTGAGGAGAAATGCCGAAACAAACTCAGAGGTCAGTCTCTTTTGAAGTCCAGAGAGAACCGTGCAAGTTCATTCTGTAGTGGTCTTTTGAGGAAAGAACCACCCAGTTTAAGTGGACCCGTTCTGAAGACAGGCACGCAAGTGTCAGTTAGCAACCAGTATAGCTAGTGCTGCTGAGTTGTCCGACGAACAATACCGATCAAAAGAACATTTGGGTGGGTCGCGCAAGTACTCAAACTGTCAGAACGCAGCTATAACAATCAATCAATCAACAACAAATTGTTGTTCCGAGTCTGGGTGTCACGTGTATGTGAAATTGTATGTTTGTAACCGCACCCACGACACAGGAGAAAATCCTAGTGTGGGGCAACGTTTTGTTATAGAAAAAAAAATGCCATACCTGTATTATTTGATGGAAAACTATGTGCCATATTATGGTGGTACGTATCATATGGTTCATTCCCAGCCATCTGCATTTCTTCATAGCCTGTAACAAGATTAGTTTTAAAAGCCATATTTACGATTTTTTAACCGACTTCAAAAAAGGAGGAGGTTCTCAATTCGACGCGTATTTTTTTTTATGTATGTACACCGATTACTCGAAGACGCCTGGACCGATTTGCAAAATTCTTTTTTATTCGATAGGGTATATATGCCATTTGGTCCCATTGTCATGAGATCAGGATCTGATGATGGAATCCTGGAGAAACCGAGAGGAACTTTCGAAAATTGTAGGGGCGAGTAGTTTTTTTGTATGATGTTTAAGTAGGCCTTTAACAACACTACAACTTGACGAAGGTCAAAGTCGACCAGATGTTGGAGCTGGAAGACAGTCGAGGGATCTCCTTGACTATTTGGAGTAGATGCCTTGTGTTTGGGCTTGAATGATTCGTATTGGCGGGCACTTTGCAGCAGGCTTGGTCGTACAACCTATGAATAGGTAGCACATAGAATTGATAGTGTTTTATTATTAATATTAAAAGTATAAGCTTCGCGTACGTAAGAGTGGTATTAAAATATCAATTTTAATAACTTATTTGACACTTTTTTGTTTTTGAAGACGGTTTTTTTAAACGTAGTTTTTTTATTTTTTCACTGATGAACATTGAAGGTGCACTCAGCTGCAGAGAAAAAGATCCCCCTATGTAGATAGCTGCATACATATGTCGACGCACTGGCCATCAGCACATGTGAAACCTCTTTGTTTTACGTCGATGTCAAACTTCACTGTCAAATGTCATAATTATTTCAAGTCCATAGCGAACACCGAGCTCTGGTGAGGCGGCCTTCTTGTAAAACAGGACAATTAGTGTTGGACCTTCGTAGAATACGCACGCGGCCACACGTTCGGTGGACGTTAAGTTCAAATCCAACCTAATCTTAATAATCCTTAGTTAAATTGTAATAGTTGTGGTTGTAATATCAAGAGTTGTAATAAGAGTGATTATAGCAACAGTTATTTTATTGAAATACCGTCTTCCTATCCGATAATCCACGCCTAACTGAACATGTCGAATTATTCTAATCATAGTCGAAATACTTCACATATTTGTACTTCAGAGGGGTCCATTTCTCTGCAGCTGACCGTACCTGCCTACTTCAGTACAGTTATTTCATTAACTTAATCATCAGCCTATAAGTGCCCACTGCTGAGCAAAGGCCTCTTCTCACACGGAGAAGGTTTGAGCATTAACCACCACGCTTGCTCATGGCGGATTGGCGATTTCAAACTTAAAATAATTAGATATTGTAAATACTGGTTTGTTCACGATATTTTTTTTTTCTTTACAGTTAACGTGAAGAATACAAAACCGTTTTAATACTTCATTGGAATATTAAATCTATACTAATATTATAAAGAGGTAAAAATTTTAAGTTTGTATGTAGGGGGTAATCTTTGGAACCGCTGGTCGGATTGCCAAAATTCTTTCACTGATGGATAGCTACAATGTTCCTGAGTGCTATAGGCTATAAAACATCACGCTACGATTATATGGAGCCTAGCAGCGGGTGAAACAGCGCGAGAGTAGCTAGTTATGAATATAAATGAAATAGTAAGTTTGAAATGGAAAGAAGTAATTAAAATAATATGTTTCTAATCTATAGTATATATACTAATATTATAAAGAGGTAAAATTTTTAAGTTTGTATTTAGGGGGTAATCTTTGGAACCGCTGGTCGGATTGCCAAAATTCTTTCACTGATAGATAGCTACAATGTTCCTGAGTGCTATAGGCTATAAATATACCAACTTGATTCACGTATTCTAGTCGAGCTATCGCTTTAAATACTGCTATTTTTAAAATCCCGTGATACATTACTTTTATACGCTTTCGGAAGCTATGTTAGTTAGGTTAATAATAGGTCTTTACCTATGAAATTGACGTTCTGCAGTACTGGCCGTTTCAAATCAAAATAGTTTTTGTTAGGCGAAGGCTAATTGATTTTGTTTTAAAAACATGGGATTCTTTTTCCAAAAGTAGTCATTTGTTTATTGATTAAGTAGTGTTACATTTTCATCGCATTTCAAATCAAAAAAAAAAAATCGTTTAAATTTTTTCATGCAAAACGGCAATTTCATAGGTAGAGTCCTATTATTTTTTGCCGTTATAGACATATATATTTGTACGTATAAGTAATACGAGAAAACATATGTTGTGGACGATCTTTATACATATGTACGACCTTATTATCGTCGTTGTGGCCCGGAGGTTAAGGAGCCCGCTTCTCAGACAACGTGGCAAGTACCAATGTGACTTTTTCCGAGTTATATGTACTTCCTAAGATTTAGACACCACTGACATACGGTAAATGTAAACATCGTGAGGAAACCTTGACTTATAATTTTCTAATTATGAGTTTGAAATCGCCAACCCGCTTTGAGCAGGAGTGGTGATTAATGCTCAAACCTTCACCGTCTGAGAAGAGGCCTTTGCTCAGCAGTGGGCACTTATAGGCTGATAATGAAGACCTTACTAAGAAAATTAACTACCTAAGTTTACCAAATAAATTATACTGATTCTGATTAATTAAATTTTTGCTAACCATATCCCCTGCCTATGTAATGTGTGGTATCATGGTAGACGTCCTGACCATCGTACTCCTGACCTTCGCCGTTAGCAGCTGGCCAGTACACTCCTCCATCCATTGGACTGCCTGAAAACAAGAGAAGATTGAAGAAAACCGGCGTGAAACAACCACAGCGTTGTGTTTCGCCGTGTGAGCGAGGACCTATCCCTTCCCAATCCTTAATTATTCAAAACCCTTATCCCTAAAAGGTCGGCAACGCACTCGTAACTGCTATGGTGTTGCGACTGTCCATGGGCGGCGCTGATTGCTTACCATCAGGTAAATCGTCTGTTATTTTGCAGACCAATCTCATAAAAACAGATATTACAAAATAAGCATTGAAAATAATATCGATTTTTTTACAAATCGATCTTCTATTTTTACCCGACTACGGCATAGCAAAAGGAGGGTTATGATTTTGACAGGCTATGTATGTATGTATGTTCATCTGTTCCCTCGTAACTTCTAAACTACTTATCAGAATTCGAAAAATGACATATCATTAAAAACGTCTTAATTGTCCGCTGGTTATAGGCTCTAAGGGGTATCACAAAATCTAATGTGGCATCCTCTAGCGGACAAAACAATCAGAGTAAAAAAATAAAGTTAAGATAATTATTTGTGAATCGACTGGTTCGACGACGATTCGTATCGATTTAAAATTGAATCTTTCTAAGAAAGTATAGCCATCCCTAATACAAACTTTCAGTTTTATTCTGTTCTACCATTGCCCGCCAAATTGACCCCTAGCAGGTTAAGTAGGGTTCCATAGCAATGTTCCTTATCATATCATTTAGTCACTCAAAACCATAATACATAATCTCTACATAGTATAAAACAAATTCGCTTTCTCTGTCCCTATATCCCTATGCACGCTTAAATCTTTAAAACTACGCAACGGATTTTGATGCGGTTTTGTAACAGATAGAGTGATTGAAGAGGAAGGTTTATATGTAAAATAACATCCATTAAATAGTGGAGAAATTAAGTATCAGTACTGCATCTGTGCGAAGTCGAGGCGGTTTGCTATTAGACTAAAATAATGGTTTTACCTTGGTGCGACGGCTGGCAATAGTATGGATGTTCATATCTATCGAAACCCTCGTCTGATGGAGACATACTGCCATAACTTGACATCTAGCTCTATCTGTAACAAAAAGAAAACAAAACCTTATAGAAGCAGAGCCAAGAAGATATTTCGATTGTAACTCGAGCACGTTAGATTAACATTACTCTGGTGCCTATGCGGTGCTGCAGTATATAGGCCTGAATCAACCACAGAGTTGCAACCACAGTCAAAGACCTAATAGACCACCACAGACGGGGCCCTATAGGGCTGATGTTCAGCCGGGGTTGCGGGGTAAGCGCAATGAGGCACCGCGACCTCGGCCTAAAGCAGGAGAAGGACCGGGGGCGTTTTTAAATCAGTAAGCGTCTGACATTCTCTTTCGCATTACCCTGGGCGGGAGAAGTCATTTGATGATTTTTCCCTTACAAAAAAAAGTGTTGTGTTTCGCCGTATGCAGTGAGGTTACCTAAGACCCAATCGTTCCTCTCCCCCATTCCTACCTAATCCCTTATCCCTACAAGGCCGGCAACGCACTCGTAACTTCTCCGTTGTTCCGTAATCAGGTTATAGGTGTGCTCTTTTGCCGACCTGTCACTTAAAAGTTAGGTAAAAAGTACGTACAGTATAAGTGCGGGAGAGCCATGCTTAAGTGTGGGAGAGCCATGCTTCGGCACGAATGGGTCGGCTCGGCCGGAGTGATACCACGGCCTCACAGAAGACCGGCGTGAAACAACCACAACGTTGTGTTTCGCCGTGTGAGTGAGGTTACCGGAGGCCCAATCCTTCCCCTACCCCAATATCTTCCCAGTCCCAAAATCCCTATCCTTAAAATGTCGGCAACGCACTCGTAACTCGTTCTTTGTTGCGGGTGTCTATGGGCGACGCCGATTGCTTACCATCAGGTGATCCGTCTGCTCGTTTGCCGACCTATCACATAAAAAAAGACGTACTAGACTAGTGTACCCAATAATGTAATTGAAAACAATCTCACGATGATAATTTGACGAGATACTCGACTAGTTTCAAGCCTAAGTGCTAAGCCGAAGTGCTAGAGGCCCGACGCGGCGACCGTCGTGGCATCGCGTGTCGCGGATTGCTGCTCATGAATATGGACCTCTAGCATGGCTTGAAACAAGTCGAGTATCTCGTCAAATTATTACGTGAATAAGCCGAAAACATAATAATTAATTTAGAATGTCTCACGAATCTTAATAATATAAAAATGAATCGCAAAATGTGTTTGTAAGCGCATAACTCAACAACGCCTGGACCAATTTTGCTAATTCTTTTTTTGTTATGTTTGTTATTGTCAGGGGAAGGTTCTTATTAAAGAAAATATTAGAAAAGTAGAGGGGAAAATTGGGAAAAAGTGACCCTTTGATAGCGAGATAGTTCGGTCTGTGCGGGGGCAGGCCGCTAGTGTTACAATAAAAATCTCACGACGTTTTCCTTCACCGTATGTCACTATCAGTTGTGTCTAAATAATCATAGAAAGTACATATAGCTCGGAAAAAGTCACATTGGTACTTGCCTGGTTTCGAACACTAATGCATGAGAAGCGGGCGCCTTAATCTCCGGGCTTCCACGACCTTCTGAATCTCGACTCGACAAGCAGTTCAATTCGTATCATTACAAGTTTGAACCTCAAGTGGACACTTGAGAATGTTCCCGACTGGTTTTAAAAAATATAAGATAATGGTAGCGTTGTCAAAGCGAACATGTGTTCAGACGTTTTTTTTTTATCAGACTAGCACGCAATGATCCGTGTTACACAAAATCATAGTTCATCATGTTTTAATAGAATTGATAATTTTATATTAATTATTAGATTCCGAGCTTCAACCTTCGCCTGCGTGGTATGTTGATAAAAAGTAGCCTATGTCCTAATCCGGAATGTATCCTATGCCTGTGCCAAATTTCATCCAGATCCGTCCAGTTGTTTTGGCGTGATGGAGTTACAAACATCCAAACATCGTAACTTTCGCATTTATAATATAGGTAAGATTATGGCTTAGCCGAAAACAAAAGAAAACCATAATATTAATTTTAAATAATCACAGCTATGGCTTTTATTAATCTACATATACATATAAAACTCAAAAGTGACTGATATAGTGATCTATCAACGCACAGCCCAAACTACTGGACGGATCGGACTGAAATTTGGCATGCAGGTAGATGTTATGACGTAGGCATCCGCTAAGAAAGGATTTTGATTAATTTTACCCCCAAGGGGATAAAAACTGAGATGAAAGTTTGTATGAAACTTTGTCAGTTTTAAACCGATCGGGCTAAGATATTGCATGCATAAAAGCAACTATAATGCCTACGTTATGCGTACCTATACTTAATTATAATGCCTATTTTTTAACGTGAGCGAAGCCGCGGGCAAAAGCTAGTTTTATATAAAGTTGTAGTACCTAGTTTTTAGATAGTTCTAGAGACATAAGCGTGTTACTTGACGTAAAACAGTTCACTGACGAACAGACTAACAGACTACGTTTCTATTTTGACGTTTCAAAAGTACCTATTTATGGTTTAGTTGGAATAAATGATTTTGAAATTGACTTTGACTTTGCAAAATCTGTGTATGTTTTATTCAAAACTAGCTTTTGCCCGTGAATCCGTTCGCGTGGAAAAGCGACTTCCTACAAATTTTTGGTTTAAAATCAACTAACCTATGTCCTTTCTCGAGTTCCAAACTATGTCCGTACCAAATTTCACACAAATAGGTTAAGTAGAGTTTAGGCGTGAAGAAAAGACAGACAGACTTACTTTCGCATTTATAAGTAACTAGCGGCCCGCCCCTGCTTCGCACCTTCGGGTCCAACCATCTCGCTATCAAAGGGTCACTTTTTCCTAATCTTCCCCTCTACTTTCTAATATTTTCATTGATAAGAACCTTCTCCTGACAATAACAAACACAACAAAAAAAGAATTAACGAAATTGGTCCAGGCGTTGTTGAGTTATGCGCTTACCAACACATTTTGCGATCCATTTTTATAAATACCTAAGATATTAGTTTGGATTTCAAATCAATAACTTATTAACAACTTTTTGGAAACGGAAGTGCTAAGCCATAATAAAGATATTATTTTTAAATTTGATCGCGACATATTGTCTGTCTTAACATAAACTGTTTACATTAAAACTCATTTGATAACCAAATGTGGATCACGGCTGCACATGTAACGAAAATTAACACAAACTTTATAGATTTAGGACAACAATGTTTCGAATTGGTTTTTTTACGCTCACGTGACTAGAAACTTCAGAGATTTTTATGGAATACTAGCGGAATACATTTTATAAAATAAACGACTACTTAGAAGATAGTCAGGCTTGGGAATGACCCGCTGTAACTTCTGCACGGGTCATGTTGACATGTTTGTAACATAAGTTACGCTTTTTATATACAATTTGACATTACGTTTATTATTATTTTTTAACAATGAAATTATGACTTATTGTGACATTTTTATTCGACATTTTTTATTTTATTTTTATAATTATTTTTTGACATTATTATTATTTTCTATTATTGTTAGTGTAAGGACCGTGTGAGACTTGCCGCGCTTTTTGACTACCAGTTATCTGCGTTCTGACAGTTTCGAGTACTTGCGCGACCCAACCAAATGTTCTTTAGATCGGTATAAAAGTGCCACCAGTCCACCCCCGCTTTGCACGGGTTCAACAATGAAACAATGAATTTATTTTTGCAAATAGGCCATAAAACGGCACTTTTACACGTCAATTTATATGTGAAAAACTAGACGAAGCCGGCATTTCCTATCTGACTACTCTGAGAAGAAATGCCGAAACAAACTCAGAGGAACTATCAACTATCTCGTTAACAACGAAAGGGTCCTTTTTACCCAATTTTCCCCTCTACTTTTCTAATATTTTCTTTCATAAGAACCTTCTCCTGGCATTAATTAATACAAAACAAAAGGATTTGGTAAAATTGGTCGGCGTTTTTGAGTTATGCGCTTACCAACACATTTTGCGATTCATTTTTATACTTATTATAGAAGAAGATAGGCTGGCAATGGCGCCAACAGCTGGTTAGCAACCTTTTTGACATGGGCATGCTCCTAGCTTATGATATATATTTTTTATGTATTAGGTCGGCAAACGAGCTGACGGATTTCCTGATGGTAAGCGATTTATGATATTTTTAACAATTTTCAATCGTGATTTAGGTATTTCAATGAGAGATTTTGAGGTTATGTTTTTTATATGTAAGTACAGGTTTTTTTATAGCATAAGTCGGCAAACGAGCAGACGGATTACAAGATGGTAAGCAATCGGCGCCGCCGTAAGCAATTGAGGCCGTGGTATCACTCCGGTCGAGCCGACCCATTCGTGCCGAAGCATAGCTTTCCTTCACTTTTATAATTTTACGACACCCATATAGCCTATATACCTACCCTATGCCATATACACCCTATGGTAAGAGTTGAGATGTAAAAGATACTTACCTATATTCGGCTCTGTCACACGGTTATTTGCAATTGGAAAAAGTTTTTATATCACCCTCTCAAGGCGAGAGTATGGCTGTTATATTAAAATAATTAGTATTTGCAAGACTTAAAATTAATTTAAAAAATGCACTTTATAATATAGGACAGTTAAAAATAATAATTGCCATCTTACCTTAAATATCGACTTAGATAACTCGATTCAATGTGTGCACACAAAAATATCACAAGAACATCACTATAGAGTAATTATTAGAAAAAAAAGAATTTTTTTTTCACCTCACCATAAATAAAATAATTATATTAAAATCACTTTTCTTTATTTAAATTAAATCGTTCACAAATAAATATTTAGACAGGTATGTTAAGAAGCAATCCATAAACTCACAAAATATTATAATATTTTTTCGTAATTATTACCTAAATCAACAGCAGCTGTCAATTCTTTTGACAGCCGTGTGACATTAGGTTTCGCGCGCTTTCAGTGACTGAGCTTTAGGAAGAGTCAGTCTTTGACGCAGCATTATGGGCGTGGCGAGTTTATTAGGGAAACGTTACTCGAAAATAAAAAGACGTAAGTCTTTATACATGTAA